GAAAAAAGTTTGTGTTATACAGTTATGTTCACTAGGTGTTAGGCTGCTGCTGCATGCAGGCCTAACCATAAATGCAGTACTTCTGTTCGATTTTAATATATAGCTGGATATAAACTTTTAAGATGTTTTTTATAACAATAAGACACTATGATGTTGATACATTTTACATTGATCGTCACCAACATGTGAGGGCGCACTCAAGAACCTTTGTAAGTTCGCCTCCCTCCTTTCTGGGAACTGTTCTTCTGATTGGCGGACACAACACATGAGCGGTAAGTGGCTTCCTAATGTGCCTGCCTAGAACTCCATAGGCCCAGCGATGACCTGCCTGTAAGATGTATAGCGGTATTTGCCTGGGGGGATAGGGACCACAATTATTACAGGGTAAACTTGATAGCCTTGTTAACATCATCAACAAAATGTGTTATAGTTGTCGGTTGATGGTTAATTAGGGGTAACATTTACATGGAGAAACAGACAAATTAGGTCAATTGAGTTTTGATATTGTCTCAATTAATTATCTACATATACAATTTATTAATAAACCTTCATACTGTACTATTTGCAATTATTATTTAAACCCTTCACTTGAACAAAAGATGGCAGTATTAATTAAAATTTACCAGGTTCTGGTTTCACTCGGGTTCAATAGCAACTTTATTATCTTGGGCCACTAGGCTTTAATATTATTTATCTTTTTAATTGTAATCTAAACATACTCATGTCTGATGGCCTGGAGCGCCATGCTCCTGCCTTGAAGTTCATGCTAGTAGGCTATCTGAGCACAAAGGGATTCAGACAGCATGCTGCAAAGCCTGGGATGCAGTATCATGCATATTGACTGGTCTTGTCTGGAAGCGTTAGGCGCTTTCTCCACTAGCCGAGCACTGATATCTGCGACACTACCACTGCAACAATGACTCTCGCACAGCTGCTAAGGTTCATGGCTGACCTATTACCCACGCAATAGCACTGTTATCAAACGAAGTAACGGTTTATCTGCAAACAGCGAATAACTACATCTCTTCTCACCACTTTCGCTGCTACTCTCTCATCTGGTTCCCCGGTTTGTATCACAACTAGTCGGTCGTAAAGATAGGTGTGGATTTGCTACATTAGTATCCGCGTGTGGAATGTGAGGCTGTACTCCGTCTAGCCGTCTGCTTTCTGTTTGTTTGTCTCGCCCGCTTGCACTGTTGGATTTGTATAAAGGGCTTTGATTGGCTGATGCCAATCCTGAAGCTTCCCAGTTTAACATCGCAACTTGATGCCGATGATCCACGTGATGCTGCAATCAGCCTTGCCATGCTCCCCGACTACATGACCTGTTTCCGAAGATCAAGCCATGCTTACAACTTCGGCATATTCACGTGAATGGCTCCACGTCGATTTTTAATCTCCGGCCAATACGTGCATTGTGGTGATCATGGCAGTGATCATACGAGCATCTCCCCATCCGAGTAGAACATGTACTGTGAGTGCTGGATGCTTGCATCAGCTAACGCGTGATACGTTTATGACTTGCGCAGTGTAATCTCTGTTCATGAAACCGCAGTATCAACTGGGAGATCCTGACGCAGTAATCATTTCCTCATATTATCAATACTACTTTTAGTTGTAGCCTGATAACATGATTGTTAACGTACCAGAATGTTGTGATGTGACTGACGTTAGCTAACAGTAACTGTAGGAACGACGGTTCAACAGTCATGAAGATAGCGCTCTGTTCTCCACTGAGTTCTCCTCATACCACAGTTCCATTTCTCTCAGATGTCCGTTATTCTTTCTATTCCTTGGGCGGAGAGATTCATGTGATTGGTCTCTTGGACGCTTAGCAGGCTCAAAATTATAATCATATGGCCATTCGAATATTTATTTTCAACCTCTTCTTGTGTCGTAAAACTAGCATTGTGATCCATGTTTTATACACTACGTTTGTACCGGCCGCTCTCTCCCATGTTATCATATATCTTGAGGTCACGTGCGGAGGCTTTTTTATGCGGAAGTGAAAATGCCTTACTAAAACGAATGCATAGCTCACTGTAGACTGTAGTCATTTCTGTATATTTCTTTGAAACGCTAGGTGTGTTGCGTCATTTTCATACTTTCTGTTTTTATTCACATGGTGTCTTTACCAGTCAAGTTATGGGCTCAGAACAGTCTCATAATACACACATGCACACAGAAGGATTCAAACTTGTATTTCATGATCCGCAAAAGGATTCACACTTGTATTTCCGGATCCAAACTTGTGTTTTTCAATGCAGACACAAATGCGTTCCGTTTCATATACATGTAAATAAAATCCAAACACAGAAACAAGTTTTACATATGTATTTTTGATCCACACATATTTGTTTTCCGTTTAAATCCCCTGAACCCGCAAACACAAACCGCTTTCTGTGCACGGATTGCTGTGCATTCGTGTGTGGGTTTTTTGAGACTCCCCTGACGGCCAGCCGATTCGTACTTGTAATTTTTTATATCAATAGCCAATCAGATGTCTCCTCAATTCTAAGCCAATCACATGAGCGCGCCCCCACGAGGGTAGATTTCTTTGCATTCATGACGTAGCGCTTCATGTACGCATTTTGCGCAGTCCGGAGCTGACAGGTCCATGGAGCCTGCCTGCAGGCGCTAATCTCAGGACACCTCCACTCTCAGGACATTGTCACTTTCCGAACAGGAAATGCACGCAAATACAAGCCTTTTTATTATTAAGGTACAGCGCCACTTTCCGAACCATTGATGAATGCTTGTGTGTACACAAAAACGGCAGGCAAAACCGTTTTAAATGTGTGTTTCCTGTATGGCGAATACAGCTGCTTTATTTATGTCTGTATGAAGTTGTTGTGAGTGTGGAGGGAGCAGCTACAGGTTGGCTTAGCCTAATCGATCAGTGCTCTACGAAGCCAGTGCTAGACAGTGAACTGTCAACGGGGGGGAGCCCCGCCGGTCATTATCGGCCGATATTCACTCTTAATAGTTTGATCGGTGCTCTCTATAAAGGCCGATCAGGAGAGCTGGGTCTGATCGATATGGACATAAACGCAAGTGAAGTGTAACCGGACGCGAGAGAGAGATCAGATCAGCTGCTGAGTCTGACGGAGACACGCAGCTCTGCATGATCACCTGATGCTCCGCCCTCTGTTTAGCGAGCTGACCGGACTGCGCAAAATGCGTATATTAAGTGTCATGAACGCAAGAAATCTACCCTCGTGGGGGCGCGCTCATGTGATTGGCTTAGACTGGAGGAGACATCGGATTGGCTATAGATGAGAGAAATTACAAGTACGAATCGGGTGAGCGTCAGGGGAGTCTCAAAAAACCCACACACGAATGCACAGCGATCCGTGCACAGAAAGCGGTTTGTGTTTGTAGGTTCAGAGGATTTAAACGGAAAACAAATATGTGTGGATCAAAAATACATATGTAAAACTTTTTTCTGTGTTTGGATTGTATTTACATGTATATGAAATGGAACACATTTGTGTGTGCATTGAAAAACACAAGTGTGAATCCTTTTGCGGATCATGAAATACATGTGTGCATGTGTGTATTATGAGACTGTTCTGAGCCCATAGATAACAGACAGTTGGGATCACGGCGAAATTCTCTCTGCAGACCCATTCTCACAGCGTTTATCAACCTTTTTCTTACTCAATATCAAGCCACACTTATTGTTGTTACTTCGGCTGCGAGTTTGCGTGTGCTCAGGATGAGTTTGGCTGTGTTTCGCTGTGTATCG